AAGGGCAGAAGACAAACGTTGCAATCACAAGGTGAGTGATGCTGAGACAAAACCTTGCAATTGCATGCATTGCTTCCCACAAAAGACCAGCAGGCCCATCCTCCATGAATTTGTCTTGTGAAAGACTGATCTTGTGTCTCTGTGTGCACACAAGTCTGAATAGAAATACAGCACTGAGAACACTGGTTTTATTCTCAAGTTTTTCAATGGACAGATTCCCATCTCCCTGAAGTTGCTCTTGTACCTTGAGACAAATGAACAGCCCAAAGACCTGGAGAAAGTATTACTGCTGAACTCATGACCACAATGCAGGCTGTGATTTAGAAGCTGGCACATTAAGAAAGGAAGAAGAAAGTTACACCTTAGTGAGCTCCTCTGTGGCAGCAAGTAGAGACAAGAACCTACTAACATCACGTAGGGTTGGACTAGTGACAGCACATACCTGCTGAGCAGGTAAAAAGCTCTGCATATTATTTTCAGCTTGCCACTCTGTTAGGCATCCTGCTGAGCCACAACTGCTGGTGAGATTTGCAGAAGGGCACACTCAAGACTGGCAGCCACTAGGACAAGAAAAGTGGCACATAAACAAGAATAAAAGCTGTTGAAGTATAAGGTCTGCAAAACTTGTAATTGATCAGCGAATGCTCCAGCATGCATTACAAACTCTTCCCATGCAAATTCTTTTCCCCATCTGCTATTCTGGCTGACACCAATGGAAGTTTGTAACACCTGACTTAACTAGTTGCCAAGACTTACCATCTTAAAAATATTAACAGAAACAGAGAAGCACAAAATAGCCAAGATTGGAAGGAGGCCTCATAGATTTCCTAGTAAAACACCCTGCTCAGAGCAGGGTTAACTAGGGCAAGTTGCTCAGGTCCATGTCTCATCTGGCTTTTACCATCTTCTTCAAGGACAGACACTCCAAAACCTCTCTGTGTCACTTGTTCCAGGTGTTTGACCAACCTCACAGTAAAATAATTAAGTTTAAAGGAACTTTTCTGTATTTCAAATTGTGACCATGCACATTCATAAGATCCCCCCTGAGCTTTCTCTCTCCTCCAGGATGAATAATACCAGCTCTCTCAGCCTTGTCTCATGAGACACACTCCCATCCCTTAATAATCTTCACGGTCATTTGCTGGACTTGCTCTAGTATGTCCACGTCTCTCATACTGGGGAGCCCAGAACTGGACAAAGTGCTCCAGCTGTGTTTCCCCAGCGTACAGGGGAAGGATCATCCCCTTGAGCTGCCAGTGATGCTCTTCCTAATACAGCCCAGGAAGCTGTTGGTGTTCTTTGCCTCAAGGGCAGATTGCTGCTCATGCTGAGCTTGGTGTCCACCAGGACCTCTTCTGTAAAGCTGCTTTCCAGCCAGTCAGTACTGGTGCACGCAGCTATTCCTCCCCAGTGGCAGGACTTCGCATTTCATTTTCAGAACTTCACAGTATTCCTGTCAGCCCATTTCTCCAGCCTCTCAAGGTCCTCCTGAATGGCAGCACAATCATGTGGTGTATCAGCCACTCCTCCCTGTTTCATCTGGCCTACAAACTTGCTGAAGGTGCACTCAGTCCCATCATCCAGATCATTAATAAAGATGTAATACAGTATTGGCCCTACTACCAATTCCTTGAATACAACATGACAGACTGATTTCCAATTGGACTTTGTGCTGCTGACCACAACCCTATATGCCCAGTAGCTCAGCCAGTTTTCAGTTAATCTCATTGTTCATTTATCTAATCTATGCATCATCAGTTTGCCAATGAGGATGTTATGGGCGACAGTATCAAAAGCCTTACTAAAGTCAAGAAAAACATCCAATTCTCTCCCCTTATCTACCAAGCTTGTCATCTCATCAGGTTCGTTAAGCATGATTTCACCTTCATAAATCCATGATGACTACGCCAAATCACCTTCCTGTCCTTCACATGTTTGGAAACGGTTTCCAGGATAATTTGCTTTAACACCTTCCTGGGGACTGATGCCAGGCTGATCACCTATAGTTCCCAGATTCTCCTCCTTGCACTTCGTGAAGATGGTGGTGGGAACTGCTTTCTTCCAGTCCTCAGGAATCTCCCTCAGTTGCCATGACCTTTCAAAGATAATCTAGAGTAGCCTTACAATGGCAGCAACCAGCCCATTCAGCACTTGTTAGTACGTCCCACGAAGTGTGTATCTCGTTTAAGTGTTTCATAATCTGATCCTCCTCCACGAAGGGCAAGTCTTCCTTGCTCCAGACTTTACCACTGATCTCAGGGGCCTCAGATTGCTGAAGGCAAATTTTACCAGTAAAGGCCATGACGAAGGCAGCAGTACCTCAGTCATTTCCCCATTCCTCACCACAAAATCCTCCTGCCCCATTCAGCAGTGGATCCAAATTTTCCTCTCATATCTCTTTAGAAGCCCTTTTTGTTGCCCTTCACATCACTTGTCAGATTCTGGGTGGTCTTTGGCTTTCCTAATCCTATCCTTGAATGATCAGTATCTCTGGCTCCCGGGTCACCTGTCCCTGCTTCCAACCCTTCTACACGTTTTACAGAAATGGCCAGGTCATGAAGAGACTTGCACTCAATGCTTGCTCCATTTCAGTACTCCATCATAAAGCAGTATCCAGTTTCAAATGTTTCAAATGTTTCAATTCTGGGGGTGTGAAATCCCCCCAGCAAACTTTTTACACACTTGAAAACCTGACTCCTAATCAAAGGAACAGTAGTCTTAAATGAGTAAGTTTAGCTGAGGCACTTCATACTTAATGATGACCTTCACTGAACATGTTTTGAAAGTACTTCTCAAATAAAGTCTCATCTTTCAATTTTCTCCATTTTCATCAGGTGAAGAGATGAAAGTCCTGCAGTGCTAGAATCTATTTTGAGTTCCAACTAGGGGGCTAAGCAAGAACAAGTAATAAGCATGCTTTAGTGATTACTGTAAATCACAGGGTGTCCAATTTCCTATTGCTCTAGATTTTCCATTATAACTGTTACCTCTTTGAACACAACTCCACAAGACGTCACAAAATAGGATCAGGTCATGGTAATTCAGGCTCCTAAATTGTGTACCTGGCACCAATACAAACTTCTTGTTTTATAGTAGACAATGAAAGGCCTCCTTGTTCCATTCTTATTCACCGCTGATAAAACAGAGATTGAGGTATATACCCAGTAAGCACAACAAGGGAACACATCCAGAGGTTTAATGACTTACTGAAGTATTTTTGCAATCCTCCCTAGCAAGGGCTTATACAAAATGCTGCTATTCTTTTCACTGAAAAACACAGTTTTCAAGATAATTAATTAAAAAAAAAAATCTTATTTCCAGAAGTATGACAGATATTATACATTCCAATAATTTATTAATCTGCAGTGTTGTGTTAAACCTTGGCTCTCTCCAGAAGTGATGATTCAAGAGCAGTTGGAAGTCAAATAACTGTGTCCAGGGCCTTAAACAATTAAACAGGTTTAGAGGAAAGAAGTATAATCTTGTGAAGATTGAGGACATCCAGAAATATTAGCATTATTGGAAGAAATTCTGCAGCATTCAATAATTTTATGTCAATTAATTATGAGGTAAATATTGATTTCATACATTTTTAAAAGCTTGTTGACACATTCTAAAAACATAATATCTTTATTAATAAGCCAAAGAGGATTAGCAAACAGCATTTTAACTTCAGAGGTTATCAAATTGGCAGTTACTACCCAAGACAGTTGAAACAATACAAACAATGTGCAGAATTTAGAAATAAGGACATAGTAGCATAATATTTACCCGGTAGAATGCAAAGCAATAGATTGGGGCAGGGAAGTCACCCCAACATAGATGTTCAGCACAAACAAGACCGGAATAAAAGTGCCAAAGCATGCAGATCACTTTGGAAAGCAGGAAAAGTTGCAGAGGTAAGCAAGCAGTAGCAGGACCCTGGAGCACAGGGGCAGAAAGAGTGGAGCAGATCATCTCTCCCGCACACATCACAGGTGTCCCTAAACATTAAGTATATCATAATGTTGGTTCCCATCTCTCCCACTGAAAACTTAGTATAAAAGACGCACCAGGTTAAAGTGAAAATAGCAATCCAGACTCAGCAATTTTGGTTTAGGGACTTACCTCTGGAGTCAAGCTTAAAGCTAGCCAGAAAGTTAAAGGGTTGCAATAGTTGACCTGATATTTTCCCATACACACCATCACTGGATTTGTACACTTCCAAGCATCCTTCCCACTCCACAGTAAGAGCTGTTAAGTGCTACAGCATGTTACCAAGTGTACTGGGCACCTGTGTCTAGGTGTGGCAGCAGGGGACTGCAGGGTGGCCTCTGTGAGGAGAGGCTGGAGCTGCCCCGTGCTGGACACGACCAGTTCTTAAGTCCCCATTGCAGGGCACACCACAAGCTGTACAAGTCCATGATTTCAAAAGACAGAATACTAGATGAAGTGAGCCAATAGACATCTCCTTCAAGTGGGATCAAGTGTATGTGTACTTAAGGGTCTAAAATCGAAAGGTGACATTCAAGTCCTTCAGAGAAAAAGAAGTCTTTGCAACCACTGACAAAGCTGTCATCTTGCTGCATTTGGAGAAATAAGCTTATCTCATGAAGCAGCACAAAACACTAACTTTAGACCTTTTTGTCTTTATCTACTACAGGACAACCTACCACCTAGCTTTACCACTTTTATCTCAGTTTTCAAATAACACCATTATTATTCTTAGATAGTCTTCAACAAGCATCACAGGCCTATTTTATCAAGTCACCAATGTTCAAGCAACAAAAGCAAGTGAAAGCATGAAAATCCAAACTAAACACAACCCTTAAGAACAGCGTCTTCTCTTGTTTTCATTCTATCCTGATAAATGGAGATAAAGAGTGTATCACACTGAGCCCCATTGCTACTTATGTTGCAGAGAACTGACTGCACTCATTTAAGCCAATTTTATCCTTGCTAAGACTGTGCAAGGAAAACAGGGTTGGTTTAAAGCTGTGCCTACAAGGAAAGGCTCTTACCTGTGTTAGCCCAGGGGAGATACCAGGGACAGCTGACATTCACATAGGTGCCGGGCAGTCCATCTGGCCAGCAGGCATAGTTGTCAAATGTTCTGTTGCAGAACTTGCCTTCTGCAGAGAGATGGAAGGGAGGGTCATGGCACTGACTTTTATTAATACTGCAAGGAGAAGAAGACTGAAGAGCAGAAGATAAAAGGAAACATGGACACGTGCATTTCAGCCGTAACAACGTTATGCAATTAATTTTTTATGTGGAGTTAAATGAGATTTATTTGGCCAAAAGAGTTTACCCCTGTTGTTTCAGGGGTGAAATGAAGACCAGATTAGGGTCTTTGACTAAAACAAGGGACAAGAAAGGTAAATTGATACTGATCCATTCCCATCTTTTCTTTTACACCCTTATGTGTCTCAGTTTAATTTAAAATCAATTTTGCTATGAATACTGCAGATAATAATTCCTGAGAATGGTTCACAGTCATGCAGTTGGAAAGTCTAGCCTAATATATAGATCCATCAACGAAATACCCACACACAACCATAACTTTGCATTACAGCTTAATCAACATGAGAATACTTCAACTTCAGATTTATTAAACTGTCATTCTTAGAGGGCAGCAGTCAACCGTTCAACAGGATACTGGAGCAGGAGGAGATGAATGTTTCCCTGCCATTCCTGTCATCAGCTACGGCTCTCACTCTGCCACAATAACGTACTTAAGAGAAGGAAAATTAACAGTTTTGAACTAATTCTTCACAGATACAACTTTAGACCCATCTTATCTTTCTCAGTGTGTCACAAAAACACTGAAGCACAGGAGAGGCTGCACTGTGTCCAGTTGTGTCACTGACGAGTCACCAGTGTCCTCTAAACACCATGATGCTGGCACATCGTAGCTGCTCTCACCACATTACAGCAGCTCAACTGCTAAGACAAGCTGTACTCTCATTTTCACTAAGGCACTTTGTTTGGTTGGTTGTTTTTTTTGTTTTGTTTTTTTAAAGCCATTTCAGCATTTTACAATACTCAAAATAATTTATGCCAACTTTAAGGCCCACAAACTGCTAGGTCAATGTGAACAGCATGGTCCCTGATTTCCTAACACCTGTGTGGTCTCTCAACCCTGACCTAAAAAAGGTTTCAGGGGTATTACATTAATGTGTTGCTTTGATGTGCTACAGCCACCACTTGGCCACTGCAGAACACTCTGGACCTAAACGACTAACATCTTTACAATTAAATTGTTCTATAAAATGCTTCCTCAGCAGCAGGAAGAGTCCCACAGAGAACAGGCAGAAGCAAATAGGATAAAGAAGAAATGGACTGGAAAGTAAGCTAGAGAAGCATCTTCAAGTTCATAATCACTCCCTTGCTACTGTCATCATGCAATTTAAAAATTAATACATCCTATCTCTACCAAGCAGGCTTACCTGTCACAATAGGAGGTGCCTCATATAAGTATTTCAGGCATTGGAGCTGATACTCCTTCCACTTCTGCATAACCCCAGAGAGGGACCCATCTGAACTCTGAAAGAGAAAGCATGAGTCTCAGACATTGCAGGGATTTAAACTCTGTGTTTTTCATGCAGCCAGAGTAGGTGGGTGTAAAAATGACTACAAAAAGCCACAACAGCACTGCTTATCATAAAGGGTACAAGATGCTGCTATGAGTTGGCCTGATCGCAACCAAAGAAATCCCTTTCTATTTGTACCACAAGCACCTGAAAAAAAACATAAACAACTATACCACGTTCTCATTGAAACCCAAACTGAGCTAGACTTGCTCTCTTGAATATACCCCAATTGTGTGATTTATTCTCTCAAGAAAAGACAGAGAGAGCAACAAGTCTTTTTAGGAGAGGTTTTCTTTCCAACAGCAGTATTTCTGCTATCCCATAAAAGAGACCAAATTATTTCATTGTGTGCAGTGGATATCCCCCAAGCATTCGTCCAGAATGTGGATGAAAGCTTCTCCTGCTCAGCTTTTCTTCCATGAACAACAACTTTTCCCCACATCCAGCATATTTTTTATGAAACCGCAGAAAGAGCAGGGACCTTGTTTTTGCACAGTTTGACAGGCTGCAGGTTCCACTGTCAGCCACCCCAAGTACTGAGGGGGTGGCAGAAAAGAATGAACAAACTCTGAGCACAAAGGAAATCAGTTGTTATTGAACTGAAAAATTTAGTGCTGGTTGCTTGCCCAACCCTAGCAGATGCTCCACCTGGCTTACTCATTTCAGTTAAGTAGAGACATCAGTCCCTCTCCCCGCTCTGCGTTTATATAAACTGAATTACAAATGTCAGGATTAGCAGGCTGTAAGCGTTCAACAATGCAGCTAACTCAGCATTTGTTTTCCAGAGAAAGTCCAGCACGCATGTCTCAGACCTATAATCAACAGCATGAACCTATAACACTGAGTGGAGGAAAATTCATTTAATCCCAGCTATCAGTTTAAGTGAAGCATTAAGGTAAATAATCCTTGTCATTTTGCCCTCACAGCTTCAACTACTAATTTTTACTTTCCATTTGTGCTTCTAAACCTTTTTCAGATGGTTAGAAGGAAACCAGGGCATGGGAAGCATTGTTTTAAAACAAAGAAGTGATTTTAAACCTATATTGTATTTCAGGAAAGCCAAACGGAATGCTGTCAACTACAACCAACGTGACTAAAATTTAGACACCAGTGCAATCACCTTGATATAAAAGAACGGAAGTAGAATGATCATTTTAGGACTACAGACCTCTCAAATCCTCTTCTCTCATATCCTTCAAATTAAGAAAAAAAAAAAAAAAGTGTTTGAAAAACAAAACAAAACGCCATATGCATCATGCTTCTGCCTGGATTAAGCCACTGCATTTAATTACAAAGATGCCCTCGTATACATGACGAGAAGTACGACATTTAATAGATAGCTGTGCTGCATTTCAAGAATAACTGCCTATATTTACATGCTACTTAACTGTAGCTAGGGCCTCATGGCCATAATTTTAGCATTTAGTCAGCTCCCCCTGAAGTCAAAACAAGCACAAGCCTGTGGATCTTTGAAACTCTGACCCTTGTGTGCCTGGTTTAAATCATCTTATCTATGCCAATAAAATCTGCCAAAGTCTGTCTGTGCTAAAGTCTCTAGTGTAAAATTAATGCATCCTACTGAATTTTAACCCTGTGTGCCTATGGAAACATACAAACCTGTAGCATAATGATCTATGCTCAACACACCTGAAGGAGAAAGAAAACACCATCACCTAAATTGTCTACACACACCTGTAGACTTAAACACATAACCAGTAACTCTAAGACTAAAATGCCATCTACAGTCCATGTAGGCTGAATAAGAATGGATGAACGGAGTATGGGGAAAAGGAGCAACTTTCAAACCTGTTTCTCTCAGACAGTCTTTAAACAGCAACTTTCAGGTTATGCATTGTTTAAAAGGTCTTCATTTTACAAAGGTGGTTATTAAAGTTACACCGGACTGTTTCTATCACATCACCACATTAACACTTGAATAAATGAATCAGAAGGAAAATTTTCAGGATGAGCTCGTGAATTATGATTCAGAATAATTTCAGAAGCTATTAAGTGTCACACCTCTTCCCAAAAAGTAACTATTGATCATGCATGCAGATGACCACATCAAGATAAAGCAAATTCAGCTTTTAAAATCATTACAAGATAAATATGCATACAGAGTTTAATTTAGAAGCAAGACTCTACCTTTTAAAATATCCTGAAAATATCCTAAAACCGCATGCATCAAGAAAATTAGCTCTTTTGGAGACAGTAAGCCTTAAAGTATTTTCTTCTAAATCAAGTTTTCATCTATCGCCTTCATGAATGCGGGAATAACCAGCTTTAATTACAGCTTAGGAAAAAGCAAGCCTCTATTCCTCCATTTAATGAAAAAGTAGAAACATTCTACTTATATTGGTTTCTCATAATGTGAGAAGATAACTCTAACAAAGAGATTAGCAAACTATAAGAGTAAAATAATTAGACATGCCTTTTTGTGGAGATGATTGATTTGGTAGACAGTTTTCCATTACCTATAGTCTGTTGCAGTAAGACAATCAAATATAAATTGCAAGACCAACTAATTTGTTCTCTCTATGCAACAGTTTACTCTGGTTCAGCTAAATACTATGCTTTATTATCAGACAAATTGACTTAAATTTTATTTTAACATATGCTAATCCCCATTTCCCAGAGATTTTGGCCCATGTGAACAAGAATCACAAATTATACATTGCCACAGATTTACAATGTGAGTAGTTTTTCAAATAAAAGGTACTGTATTTTCTTGAAAAGTGATTTAATTCCTTCTGCAACACCAAAGCACTGAACACGAATACAGGACAGGGCTCCAGGGTAAGAACTCAAAATTTGGAGCAAGCTGCAAAAGTTCAAATAGCTTTATTAAACTCAGGACTATTCTTGTTGCTAAAAGCACTGGTCCTTGCTTTTTAGTTGTGTGTTTAGTTATTTGTTTTGATCTTTTTTTTTCCAGTTATACTCAACCATAGGAGGAAAAACAGTAGTAGTTTTGCTGTGGTGAAAATATATCCCAGGATAGTGGAGAAGAAGATGGAAACATGGCTAACTGGCGAAGGTGCAGTCAAAAGGCAAGAATGGATGAAGGACATTAAGGAGGTGAGTAATGGTGCAGCGTAAGGAACATAAAACGGCTGCAGAAAAATTAAGACCAGCAAGAACAGAGAGACTGAGAGCTTTTCAGTGTATGTATATAGTAAAGTGTAATTAATCTCTACCGATAAATTACCTCATTCAACAGTCTGAAGTCAGAATTCCTTACAAATCCTTAACACCTCTATAGGAAAGCCTCATCCTGTAGCCATCTTTTGTCTTCATAGACTCTACTGTAAAAGGAATCATTTAAATCACTTTTAAACATCTTTAAAACTACTCCTGCTGAGACAAAAACAGCATCCACACAGTTCCAAAGTGATCGATGCTACAAAAGCATTATTCTAATACACTGAAATGTGCGCACACAGAATATAAACCTGCAGGGGGGGTCAGACCAGGCAAAATGCATCATAAAACAGCATCACAAAGCGTAAGGGAAAATTCTCAGAAGCAGTTGGTGACTACTGGGGTTGTCATCTTTCCTCTTCTCCCATCATCATGTAAAAGGTCTTACATGCAACAGAATGAGAAATTCCTCCTTATATTTGTATTTCTTATGTCTCTAGTTGCCTGTGTTTAAATGGGAACATTTATGTTACAGCTTTTTTTATGCTTTTAACAATTCAGGGTAATAAGCAAGACTTCAACTTGCTGCTGAAGGCTCATATGTAATGTTACAACCACTGGGACCTCCAAAATGTTAAACTTAGTCTGCAAAGGCAAACTGGCATTGAACCATACTTTGGTATGGCCTTGGTATTCTTCTCTCAGATAGTAACGATGACATATCTACCTCATGAGAAGAGGGTTCAGATTACATTTACTATCTTCTATCTCAGAAGCACCAATGAGTTACTTTTAAACTTTTTCTTTTAAACTGCCCTTTTTCAAAAGTCCAGTGTGACGCACTATTTCAAGGCTATTCTACTCAGGATCAGCACAGTAACTAAGTCCAAGATAGGTTAAAACTGCACATTACTAGCTTTAGGCTCATTCTGACTTGACAATCTTTCCTGCATAAATTCCTCTCCTTATTAAATCATCTGTTAGGTCAGCATAATCTATAGGTCTGCATCAATAAAAGCCAACAGAGTGGAAGCTAAGCTGACCACCTAACAGGTTTATTCAATTCACAGCGTTGACATAAGCTTGAATTTACGACACAGTTTTGTCTTTGTTTCACAGCCTAAATGAGGCAGAGCACAACACTGCTACCCCAGAAAGCTTTGCTGTGACAAAATATCACCTTGCATTTATTGGGATGAGATTCCTCCTGTCCAAGAATGATTTCCAGGTTTCAAACTTAAATTAATTAAATTGTGTGGGGCATAAATACAGTCACCTTCCTGAAAGCGCTTTCCCACCTAACTATACGCTTCGGCTTGCCACAACAGCAGCTCTGGGAGCAGAAGTTTAAAAACAGAGGCTGAAGCAGAGCACAACTCTGCAACAGGGCTAGCTGTTCACAGAACAAACTTATCTTCCCTTGAAATTTGTCATCACTTTTCTCCACTTCTAATTGGAAGTAAATATGAAAACATATGAATGGCAGGATGATATTACTACTTCCCTAGACCCATCAGTCAAGATCCAGTTTCTCAACAGTTACTATAAATTTGTCAAAAAAAATCCTGTAAATACTGATTTTCCAATCACCACTTTGTAACAACAATTATGTTTAAGTTCTGCAGAAAGAAAACATACCTAAAACTAAGCCAAAACATCCAACTCAATTTCATACTGAGTCCTTTGACCAACTATTCACCCATGACAAGGCAATACTGCTGAGGACCAGTCCTTCAAGTATAATGCTGCTTGAAAACCAACAGAGATTCTGGAAGTGCATTAGTATGAGAGCAGGCTTTATTGTTCTAACTC